CAAAGTGCGCACTTTTCATCTGCTACACGAATTTTGGAAGTTGACGGTCATTTTTCTAAAAACTGTCCATAACAAGGTAGGTAAATTGAATGCTTTAGATTCTGCTATAAATGTACTTTCATTTTACAAAAGGAATTATTGATGTATATCGCTTAGTTGCTGAGAAAATAAATACTTTCGGTGGTCTAGTCGCGCGCGCGAAAATGAGTAAAGTTCAACTTTAGCGGCCTATAACTTTTGTCAGGACCACGGGAAAATGTCGTAAAGCGAGATTCTGAAGGTTCAAACATTTCTGAACAAAATGGTGTGGGTCCCAATTCTTTCTACTCCGAAAAAAAAAAACTACCTCAAATAAGCGAGTTAGCGCCGGCTCTCCGCTGCACTATACAGTTTCAGTCAGTTTATCTCTAAAAACTGCACATGTTTAAGTACTGAAGTGAAGTGAATTTGTGAGAACGTGCTACGTGTAATAAAAACAGTTAAAGGAGATTTCGATATAATTAGGTAAGTACTTAATAAAGTAAGGTTAGCAACAGTTTAGTAATTCAAGGCAGAAAGAACATAGAACATTACTTGATAATTTATTTTTATTAAAAGGCTGGTTTTACGCTTGAGATGTAGTTTCGGGTGTCCGTGTGTTTCTAAGGGTTCTCTATGAAAAAATTAGTCTCGAAATTAGTCATCTCAATAGCGATTAAACTTCTACGTCCAATTCTAGATATCATACTATGTAGTACGCCAGTGAGTACTCTATCGCGCACAGGGTTAAAAGAAGAACCAAGAAAGAACGTTATTTGCAGGCTATTCCTAATAAATGGTAGCCCATCTACATCATTGTAGATTGGCATTGAATAATAAATTCAGAATTATTATGGTAACGAAGCACTAAAGATTTAGCGGGGTCGCCTCATTTGTGCTTCAAAAAGAAAAAAAGTTGTAGCCAACTACCAGATACTAACTTTGAGGTCCCGTATCTCAAAAACCGTAGGTGTCGCTGGGTTCGAGTATGAAGCACAATGAAGCACTAACGAAGCACTAAGGATTTAGGCTGGTCGCCTCATTTGTGCTTCAAAAAGAAAAAAGTTGTAGCCAACTACCAGATATTAACTTTGAGGTCCCGTATCTCAAAAACCGTAGGTGTGGCTGGGTTCGAGTATGAAGCACAATCAAGCACTAACGAAGCACTAAGGATTTAGGCTGGTCGCCTCATTTGTGCTTCAAAAAGAAAAAAGTTCTAGCCAACTTCCAGATATTAACTTTGAGGTCTCGTATCTCAAAAACCGTAGGTGTGGCTGGGTTCGAGTATGAAGCACAATCAAGCACTAACGAAGCACTAAGGATTTAGGCTGGTCGCCACATTTGTGCTTCAAAAAGAAAAAAAGTTGTAGCCAACTACCAGATACTAACTTTGAGGTCCCGTATCTCAAAAACCGTAGGTGTCGCTGGGTCCGAGTATGAAGCACAATGAAGCACTAACGAAGCACTAAGGATTTAGCGGGGTCGCCTCATTTGTGCTTCAAAAAGAAAAAAAGTTGTAGCCAACTACCAGATACTAACTTTGAGGTCCCGTATCTCAAAAACCGTAGGTGTGGCTGGGTTCGAGTATGAAGCACAATCAAGCACTAACGAAGCACTAAGGATTTAGGCTGGTCGCCTCATTTGTGCTTCAAAAAGAAAAAAGTTCTAGCCAACTTCCAGATATTAACTTTGAGGTCTCGTATCTCAAAAACCGTAGGTGTGGCTGGGTTCGAGTATGAAGCACAATCAAGCACTAACGAAGCACTAAGGATTTAGGCTGGTCGCCTCATTTGTGCTTCAAAAAGAAAAAAAGTTGTAGCCAACTACCAGATACTAACTTTGAGGTCCCGTATCTCAAAAACCGTAGGTGTGGCTGGGTTCGAGTATGAAGCACAATCAAGCACTAACGAAGCACTAAGGATTTAGGCTGGTCGCCTCATTTGTGCTTCAAAAAGAAAAAAGTTGTAGCCAACTACCAGATACTAACTTTGAGGTCCCGTATCTCAAAAACCGTAGGTGTGGCTGGGTTCGAGTATGAAGCACAATCAAGCACTAACGAAGCACTAAGGATTTAGGCTGGTCGCCTCATTTGTGCTTCAAAAAGAAAAAAGTTGTAGCCAACTACCAGATACTAACTTTGAGGTCCCGTATCTCAAAAACCGTAGGTGTGGCTGGGTTCGAGTATGAAGCACAATGAAGCACTAACGAAGCACTAAGGATTTAGCCTGGTCGCCTCATTTGTGCTTCATACGTGTAGCCAACTTCCTGGACCTCATACAATCCAATGTTCAATTCGCCAATGCATCGATATGCCTGACAGTTATGCAACCCACCTTACACAAATTTGACAAAAGTGTAAAGAAAAGAAGATATTTCAGATACGTATTCGCCCCATTTGTTTAGCAGATTCCACGTATTATCTGTGAAACTATCTTAACAGTCTTAAAGTGGTTTGATAGTGTTTTTCAGGTACTGGAATGTTACTCATTTGCTGTAAATTGCGAAATTCAATATGGACATGTATGAAATTTCAAATTCTTTAGGTAATTTAAGAACAGTGATGTAGTAAATGGATTTTCTTCTATGTAAGCAAAAATATTTAACTTCATTTCTACAATTAAAACATGGAAAGTTCTTTTTCTGGTGGAATGTTCATTAACAATTCAACCATCAACATTTTTTTAATGCTGCTGCGAGTTGTGCCAATTGGCGGAATTTGCTTGTCAGGATATTTAGCAGAAAATGAGTATGATTATTGAAATACACCTGCGGCACTTCCATTTTTTCTTCTTAATATAATATAATTATTAGAAAGTGAACATAAAACCTTCCCCATACACTTGGAATAATCTTTAATTGTAATGCCAATTACAATTACAATTAAAGATTATTCCAAGTGTATTCCAATCTCTGTTGAACTCGAAATGGGGTTGTATGATAATTATTAGAAAGTGAACACAAAACTTTCCCCATACACTTGGAATAATCTTTAATTTCACAATGCCAATTACAATTACAATTAAAGATTATTCCAAGTGTATGGGGAAGGTTTTGTGTTCACTTTCTAATAATTATCATACAACCCCATTTCGAGCTCAACAGAGATTGGACACCAAAATTAATATAATTAATAATCTTAATGTAATGTGCGAGCAAATCACGTGACTTCATTATGCGCAACTACAAATCATTACCAACGTTAATGCGCTAACTTCTTTGTATTTTGTATATGTTCGTTCTAAAATGATATACTTTGCCTTAATTTGGACTCCTTATACTAAAAGTGATATTTCTAGGTTAGAAGGTGTCCAGCGTAAGTTTTCAAAGTTTTTGCTTTATAAAGTTGAAGGTAGGTACACATCCTGAGAGGGGATACCCCTATTCGTTACTGTTATCCAAATTTGACATCTGTTCCTTGAAGAAAAGGAAGGTTAGGAGTAGTGTTATTTTTCTCTATAACTTAGTTCATAATAAGGTTGACTCTTTGCTACTTCTAAGTTTGTTAAACTTTCCTGTTCCTACATATACGTCGCGTGGCCCAATTATCTTTTATTGTGCTATGCGTATACTAATATATTATGATACTCACCAATTCATACGATGTGTACACATTTTAACAGTGTGTAATACATGCGATATTTACCATTTAGATCCGAGAGAAATAATAAATTCACTTTACAGTCAATTTTTATTGTTTCACTCCAGACCTATTAATAATCATAATTGTTTATAATGCATTGTTTCATTTACAATGCAAGAATTAGCAATTACAAACATGTGCTGTGACTTAAATTCGGACAGTTTCTTATTCGATGACAATTTTTTTTACATTTAAAACAACGAATTGATTCGTCAGATTTGCGCTGGTATTTGCGAGGCTTTTTATCATCGCGTTTGTTCGGATGAGACTTGGTGTGCATAAGTTTAACATTGTCTTTAGACATTCATGTGGAAGCAAATACTAGCGCATATTTTCATTTAAAAAACAGTCTCTGTGGTGGGGGGAAGACGGGCAAGGTTGACTTTGGCCGTTGCCGCCGATTTTACAAATGTTGTGCATCGCAGAGATCTTCTCGCTAGCATTTCCTACTTCTTCCTGGATCAAGAAAATTGCTGATGAGGTCTATTCAGTCAGGTTTTTATTTTGAGAAAGTTGTACCATTTGATCTTTCCTTAAATAGAGAAGAATCTCTCATCTGAGCGCCGTGGGAGTACGTTTACTTATTCAGTGTACATATGTTCACATAAAATTAAAATAAATGTAACTTGTACTATGTAAACATAAAATAAACAACGTAAGCATATATGTCCACTATAAATGAAATATAATATATACCTTGCATTAAGATAGTTTATTTCAAAAAACTGAAACAAGAGCCAGATTTCTCGTTTTTCGAGCGCCCTGTGTGTGGCACAGTTTTCGGACCTAACAACATATGTCCGAGCATATGTCTACAACCATAAAACGATTTTAGTTTCATTCAGGCAGTTAAAATTTGATATGAAGAACCATAATGTCTCTTCCATAGACATGGACGTTTAATGGGTATACTAAAAGCACGACCTCTCTGGTAATGCATGTTTAGAATATGAATAATTTAGGAATAAAAATACTTGAGATGACGGAGCTCTTAACGTAATAAATATTGTGTAATATAAATGGTAATGATAGATAAATTGATGTTTTAATTCAATATAAATGTTTATTTTTCTTACATTTTCTGTTCACATTCGCTCGAATTATACTGAAAGAATTTTTATTTTACGCCTCCAAAAGTGTATTTAAATAACTGTTACCCCTAACATCAATCTCACGTCATAATATCCACAAATTTTGATATACCTACATCATAAAATTCAAAATTTTACCAATAAAACAAATGTCAACTAGAGAAGAATAAACTAATGAATCAACAAAATTTAAAAATAATAAAAAAAAGGAACGCAATTTTTACACACACAAAAATCAGTATTACACCTACCTTAAAGTCGATGTAGCCATTTTTGTCCATATCGAAGGTTCTGAATACATGGTCGCAGAATTCTTCCGCATTGCCAGATGGGAAGAACATCTTATACATATCTACGAATTTGGCTGGTGTCAACCGACCATTGGGACAGTCTTGCTGCAAAAGTTATAGTATTAGATTGCAGAAGTACACAAGTCGAGCTTTTCTATAGAATATGAATTTATGCATACATCGATGCTAATTATGAGGTCTTAATTTGCATAAACAACTGAAAAACCATCTTTCAAACGTGATATAATAATTTTTTTTGTATAGGTGAGGAAATACATGTTATTTACATCGACAGATCTCACAATTCCACAATAGAATGGTACATTTTTTCTAAGCATTCTATCGCTGTCTGCCCTTACTCTTCTTTGCACTTTACAAGCATTTCATAGTTCGTGTCCAACGTGTTTTTTAGGTAATACTTAATGGTCACTTGCCAATTTGCAGTTATTTTCATTTCTTTGTTGAAATATGAGGGCTTATGCGGTCCTCGACAGTTTGGGCACTTCACACGGAGCAACTCCTTGTGATGGTATTCCGCAGAAACATCTTTGTTCATGCTTACAATTGATCGAAGAATGGCCAAGTTTTCGGCAATTAAAACACCTTCACCGGTTAGGTATATAATTGTACTTTCAGTGGGTCAAACAGTACCTGGTGCGTCATTTCACTTTCGTACAAGTGTTAGAAATATACAACACCATGACACCAGAGAGGACGATGTTGACAAAAACAGAAGAATATACCGTAGCGTAGCCATGGTAGTTCAAGTTATTTTAAATTTTCTATGAGAAACTTCAGAGACAGGCTTATGATCTGCACATTGCCTTTAGTGGACAAATGTTCAATTAATGTCGACTATATAATTATATAAACTACGTGCGCGAATTACGTAAATAAGATCGTAGTTAAATGAATATGTTACAATACCTCACCATATCCTGCATAAATGTGACAAGATGAAGTAGCATAAAGCCGCAGCGCTTGTAAATTAAGTAACTGTTGAAAGGATCTCTTGAATATTTCCGTGCGACGCTGCTGAATCGTAATCAAGCCCGTGCCTTAATGGAGGGTCGGGGTAATAATTTTGTGGCAAATACAGAAGCGTGCAATCTACGACGGTTGCTCAATTGAGCAATTTGGTTTCGAGCAAGCTTTGCGTAATATGCTCACCTCCTCTCAGGCCGCGGAGAAATTTGTCTTGTCAAAATGCCTTGTAGTTAACGGAAGGGCATCGCAATAATTAAATTTGGAAAGCAGGAGAGAGCCATAGAAGGCTTTTAATAAGGACGGTTGCGAAATACGCGCATCTGATATCTTAAAATCATTATCCCTTTCATAACAGTCATAAGGGAGGGGGTTAGCCTCAGATGCATTATTGCACGAGGTAAATGTTAAATTGTCTACGCCATGCGATAATAGTGCGTGACCACGTCTATATGATTTGAATATTTTGTCGATTTTTTCGCATTTTCGAGTCTTTCACCTTACCCTTAAATTTAAGTCACAGTGAATTTCAATGGAAATAAATGAGTTCACATTGGAGGTTATCTATTATAGGCAACATGAAATATTTACATCTGCGGAATATTGCAAAGTGGCGTGTGATGCAAAAACGCCGTGATAGGCTTAGGGGCGAATCTGTTACACAAGCAAAATTCCTTTAAAGTTTGTTCAAAATGAAAAGCTATTTTCAGAAGTGCGATTTGCCTCAGTTGTGAACAAGATTTGTGCAAACGAAAAGATAAACACGACGAAGTGAAGTTTCCTTGGCTGGCGAACGACTATCGTAGATCGGATTTTCAACAGGAATTAACGCGTTAGGGCAGTTTCTTGTTAATTTTCACGTATCTCGATTTACCAGAAGGGTGATTTGGGACGTTTCGAATACTTCTTATAGAAATGAATTATAATTAATATTACAGATATTTATATAGTGTCTCACTATTATCTTTCACAACATCTCCAAGGTTTACGAGCAAATCACCTCTGCAAAAATGGGGAGAAGAAATGTGCCGCAGGCGAAAAACCGGCATGAATATTCTGCACTTTCCACGATTACTTGGACGTAGCATCGGTAGATACTTTTTTGCGCAACGAGCGCCGCCCTCGCTTACTTTTTATTTGTCTTCTATGGCTACCTTTCATTGCTTTGTTTGAAAAGGTTTTATAACAAAAACCTAAAACTAACAGAAAAAGTGCATTAAGTATAGTTTTATTACTCGAGATATTGAATAAAACATTACCTTCTAATAAAAGTCTCTACACACGCTCTCGAAATAATTATATGGCCATTCGCCAGACATAAAAATGTGTTTTCCCATAAGAAAATCGATATCTTAGTATAAGTACCTACTTGGGTAATCCTAGGGGTAATCGATACCACCCAAAATTATGTAGACAATGCAGTGCACTCACCTTAAACCCCTTATACCATTCCTTAATCGTACTTTCATCATATCGGGTGTGCGATTTGAGGAAGTCCATGTCCTCTTTGGACAACTTGTCTTTGCTGCCGAAGCATCCCATCTTGCCTCGCGCAGCCCTTCACCTGTAACCAAAAGAGAACGATTATTGGCGGATTTTCGTCTATGCGAATTGGTACGAAATAAAAGTGTAGCGATCGACCGATGAGACGTACGTAAAATAAAGATATTGTGCGATCAGTATCGAGCTCAAAGGACAATTTTTGGGTTGGATTCAAGAAGTCACTTTCAGGGTATTGATTAAATGCAAATACTAAGTTACCAATAAACCGCAATAATTCAGACGAAGTTGATGGTAATTTTACTTACTAGACATCAATGCTTTATAATTTTTCTTTTCAAAAATTCACAATGTAACATTTTCAACAATTTTATGTTTGTTGTTTCTATATGAGACAGTTATTTCACATGCATTTATTCATTTCATTATAAAGGTCCTACAAATTTAGGTACTTTTGCATTTTTAATATGCAAGAAATAAAATTTCTTTATGAAACTACAGTAAACAGAAATAAATTGATGTTTAGCAATGTATCAAGTTCAAATTAGAGTATAGTTCGAGGTATAGTCTTATAATTTATGTCGTATTTATGTTTTAAAATGCTAATAACCACTAACATGTTTCTTATGACAAGTTTGTTTCGTAAATGCAATAAAATTAAGTACCTACCTATTAATTGAAATGTTATGCTACAGTAGAATTCTTCAAAGGATTTAATTCAACAAGCATAAAATACGATCGTATTCAATGTGAAAATTAGATGATCAATAAGGATTTATATTCATTTAGCATTTTACTGATATGTTTCACGAATTACCCATTTAAAATCATGTAATTTAAAAGTTTGCTACATATTTTTTTAGTTAAGTACTCCAGTATACAGTGATATTTCTTAATAAGTAGACATAGGGATTTATGTGTATTGTTTTTCTCGATGTCTACTTTCAAAAGGCAAAATCTCTTCTGAAGGACGCCTAATTTTAGGCATCCAAAAGAACTTTTTAAAACAAATAAACATCTGGTTGGTTTAACAGAAAGTAAATCTCTTACGCTCCTGAAACTGTTACCGGTACTATACCAATTGACAATATCAACTTTTTCTTCAGTTAAATACATCGCACACGAACGCAAATAAAAATACGGAAGTCAATATTGAAATTAATTAGCATGTAAATTGTAAATGTTGCAGCCATCGAGTTCAAAATTTCAAAGTAGGTAATTGAAAACCTATTGATTGTGGTGCAAATTTTCCTAATTTTTCCGAGCAAATGTCGTATTTTCATTACAGGGCCAAATTTCGAAGTTATTAACCACCAAATTTCAATGTACTTGGGCATCGTTGCCCGGTGCCCTATTGTTGGCCAGCATGACCGAAAATGAAATTCTGCCTACACAGGGAATTTATGGATGTGACGAAAATGTCACCTTAACGGTGTAAATATTAACCCCACCACGCGCTTGTCATTCCTTACGGTTTTAGGGTGGGTACTTTAAGTTACGTAAATAACTATGTAACGCAGATCAAAACAAAAATTCAGCATTTGAAAACATTTCATTCATTTAACGGCGGGAACTCGCTAGACAGCAATTACCCTTTGTACAATAATCTTAGGATCGAGTTGAAAGGTTTGTGTAATAATCTTACAAAGAGAAAATAGAGTAACATCAAACTGTTTTAGTCTTTTTCGCTGTGGATAATTGCTGGTTTCGGTTGTATAAAGGCAAAACGACATTTCGTTGCAGAATCAACAGTAATAAAGCTGTTTCAATAAGCAAGTTGGAAACTTTGTTTGCGTTGGGAACTAAAAACTAGCATTAAACCAAAAGTCTTCGCATGCACAATTTATGGTGTGCCTTATTAGAGCGAGATTTCTGACTTGAATTATTGAATTGAATCGAATAATTTTAAGGGTATTCGTTCCTTTTTGGTTTTAATTCACGACTTTACACAAAGGAAAAAAATAAGGCTGTTTACTGCTTTATACAACGCTCTCTTTGGCCGAGTAGTTTCGAGTAAAGGCAGAGGTTCCGTGACTACAATCACCTACTGCTCTCTTTCTTTTTTAACTTGAGAGGATTTCGTACAATTTTGTTTATTTTCAAATAAAATCACTTTGCAACAATCTTTTCGTCTTGAAAAATATAAACCAAAATATAATAACACGCAAATATGCTCTTCCCCATTGAGCAGTACATGAAACTGGATAGAAAAATCCGATACAACTGAATACCCAACGATCCTCAACATCGTTTTTAGATTGTGCCTTTTTGGCCCGATAGTCTACGCAGATGAAAAATAGCGACCTTTCTTACCAATTTCTCAAGGCGATCGGACGTTTCTAAACAATGTTATATCGTGCACACGAACACACAGACGGACAGACAGATGGAAAGAATTTTAGAATTGAGATCCAGAGCACCATACGTTGGTGGCTTGACGCCATTTGTTCTCGGTGAATGAGATGTTTAAATGAGTTGGAACTGAACTGAAATACAATTCGGTTTGCTTATATAGCAAACAGCATCTTTCTATAATGTTCTCAAGCCAGAATCCAAAACAATTCGTACTTTTTCGATCAGACTTCTCAGTCAAAAGTTATGGACTAGAAACCAATTTCGAAAAAAAATTCAAAGGGCTGTAACTTTTGAACTAGTAGCCCAATCTTGGAACTGTTTGAAGTTATGGATTCTACAGGCAACATTCAATAAGAAAATTTTTTTTCCGGGTCGATCTGAGGCAATTTTTTTCGGGCCTCAAAAAAAGGCAGTGTATAACCTTCCTTTTTTTACCAAAAAAATCGACTGCACCAAAATTTCTCGGGAAAACACTTTTTTTCTTATTAATTTTGGTGCGTAGAATCCAAAACAATTCGTACTTTTTCCATCGGACTTCTCAATCAAAAGTTATAGACTAGAAACCAATTTCGAAAGAAAATTCAAAGGGCTGTAACTTTTAAACTAGTAGCCCAATCTCGGAACTGTTTAAAATTATGGATTCTACAGGCCACATTCTATAAGAAAATTTTTTTTCCGGGTCGATCTGAGACAATTTTTTTTGGGGCTCAAAAAAGGCAGTGTATAACCTTCCTTTTTTACCAAAAATCGACTGCACCAAACTTTCTCGGGAAAACACTTTTTCTTATTAATTTTGGTGCGTAGAAAAGGACTCAAGAACGCTTCAGAACATTCTAGAACAAGCACGTCATACTTCTCGGAAAGATTGCGTCACACCCGCCTTCGTTATTTATCGCCGATGACTCATCTTTCATTGAGGCTCGATGTCTATCGGGATTTCTGGAAAATTCGCTACACTACCCCCTCTTAAAACTGTTGCGTCTCACAACACTGACGATGGTTGTAGCTTCATGGCGGTACTTGCACAACGACCCCCTCGTGCTTCTTTCATTCTTCAAGAAACATAATCCACCGTCTTACGAATCAAGTGCGTTGTTGCTCTGGTGTTAGATTAAAGACCAATATTTCCACCCCGGTACCCTGGAATACCACCTCTTCATTTTTTTTCTGAAATAAAGACAAAGGAATGAATGCTGTCTTATTATGGGAAATAAAATGTTAAACAACTTTCATATAGAAAAATTTTGTATACAGTCGATATTTACCGAGACATTGGTGTTTTCTTCCTTTCTACTTTTCCGTAGGTCTCATTAGAATCGTTCCAGCACCTTAACCAGGGTTTTCGTTACTCCTACGGGCCACCCCGATGTACTACTATCGTGCATCGATTGTAGTACTTCAGATTTTCTGCGTTTCGGTATCACTATCTGCACGGTTGGGGGTCGTGCCATCGTAATTTTCTACAACTCTCTTTAAATAAGCAGCTTCTAACCGTAACGAGTTCCACTGAGTTTTCTCCGCTTCTATTTTGGCTGTCATGGCCTGTTGATCGGATTTCGTTTCAGATTGACCCGTTTCGTATTTAGCTTCCATTGCCTGTTTGACTACCTTTCATCTCATCTTGACCGGCTTTCATTTCTTGCATTATTGCAGAAATTTCTCCATTTTTTCTTACGTAGATCTGGTCACCACTGGCATAAACTAACACTAAAATTGTTCACTAAACACAACCCCACACCTGACACCAGTCTAATGTAAATTTAATTACGTAGTTTTATTTACTTACAAATTAACTAACAATAAACAATAACAGTGTTAAAATGTATTAATTTATAACAGTAATTATTATACATCACTTACAAATTATAACATAACCATAACACACGCGCATCGAAGTTGGATCTGAAGTGAAACACAATTCGCTTTACTTATAAGTTATATAGCAAACAAGATTATTTTTTCTCGTCATACTTCTCGGAAAGATTGCGTCACATCCACCTTCGTTATTTTCACATTTAATAAAACCGAAGGTTGCCGTACAATTCCACCCGATTTGGGGAACTCTGTATGGCGCCCTCATATATACAGTGTGTCCCCGGATGGACCGAACAAGAGGGAAAAAATTTTTAATTTACAATGATACAATGGATACAATGATAGTCTGATTTAATCAAAAACATGCAACTTAGAAAAATTTCCGCTGTAGATTTTGCGTTTTTTGTAATTTTCTCAGCTGCTAAAAGGGATATCTAGATTTTTATTTCAGAATAGGTGGTTTTGAAGCAAGCAAATTTTTTATAAAGAATGACATTTTTGCGATAAATTAAAATTAATTTTTTCCCTCTTGTTCAGTCCATCCGGGGACACACTGTATTTACGCCAAGGTTCAAATTCAAAATCATAAACTTTTGTAATAATCTGATATAATTTTCACGAATTATTTCAGATAAAATTAAGTTAAGGCCCGAAGTAAGGCTTTTTAAGCGGTTACATGAAGGGTAGATATTATAAAAAAAATGTTATTATTTAAAAGAAGCTTTTTACTGATTTTATCGCGCAGCTTTTGAACAATCTAAATACGAGGTGTTGCTATAGAATCCTGATAATTAAGCTTGCTTCATTTAGCTAATTAGCTAAATTTCTAGCAATACATTGCAGATTTAAAGTAAACTTGTAATAACTGCTTAACAATCACCATTTACACCACCT